GCTGTGCAAGCAGTATGCTTAAATCTTGGCTGATGGGTATGAGCAGTGGTTGAAAATACATGATTGCTTTGCGTTCTTGAGTAGTCAGTTACCCCAAATCTGATTTATTCATTTTGTAATCCACTTTCCCTACTGTTTAGCTTTTCCAATAGGGTATCACCTCAGCAGAGAGGAAGATGCTATAATGGTTCAGGACCAGATTTTATTTGTTTGCCCAAGGAAGCAAAGAGGTGTCTTCACTGCCTGAACGTTTTCCTCTTTCCCACTGTTTCCTGTGGCCTTGTTATCAGATTTCGCTGAACGATATGTTCCCCAAGTGACTCATGTTTTCTCATTGCCTGAAGATATTGATTTATTTGCCAGGATCTTAACAACCATCACTTGTAAAGCAAAATAAAGTTGATTAAACAAAGAGGAGTATCAAAGGGAGCACCCCAGGCAGAGCCCTCCAGAAAGGTGCTCCATGTATCACACACAAGGACCACACTCCAGCTACTGTGTGGCAGAAGGGATGCATGTTCCTTTCTCAGTACATGTAGCACTGTGGTAGTGCCACTGGCATATCACAGAATCACAGCATCACAGGATGGTTGAGGTTGGAAGGGACCTCTAGAGATCATCTAGTCCAACCTCCCTGCTCCAGCAGGGACACCCAGAGCACAGGGCACAGGGTGGCATCCAGGCGGGTTTGGGAGATCTTCAGAGAAGGAGACTCCACAGCCTCCCTGGGCAGCCTGTGCCAGGGCTCTGGCACCCTCACAGCCATGAAGTTCTTTCTTACATGGAGATGGAACTGCCTGTGTTTTAATTAGTACCCATTACCCCTTGCTCTGTCACTGACCACCACCAAGAAATGGCAGATGTTGGAAGAGTGGGCCCTTCTCTTGGGGCTTTTGAAGGATATTGGGACCTGTTTTGAGCCATAGTGAGGAGATGCTCCATGGAGAAAAGCTCCTGTCCCCTTTCATTCACCCCTCTGGGCTGGTAGGGTCCCTTCCTTGGAAGCTACATCTCTGTCAGCAGAAGTAGTTCCGTGCTGCGGAGAGCAGCTCCTGTACAAATGCATCCACATGGGCTCTCACCCTTTCCCTGCCCATCGAGGGATTTGAAAGGAGAGAGGAGAACTTCCCTTCCTCTTGTTGTTGCAGTTGTAGGCCCACAGCAAAGCTGTGATGCCTTCGTGTGGCCGCTCCACAACAGTGTGGTGGGACAGGTCTCCTGGGAGCTGGAGGAATCCGTAACAAAAGAGCTCCGCGTGCCTTCTGTTTATAGATGATTCATTGCTACACTCCTTTAAATCCTTATCACATGCACTAAATGAATGCCTGGACTTGAAGGGGTCCAGTGCCTACACACACGATCAGTCAGGCAGGTTTTGCCATTTTCACACATTTCAGACATCTCTTCACTGGTAAACACGTGACCTATGGGTAGTCTAGGCCTTGCAGACAATTTATTGGGGATCTGTACTCTGCTGTGCAAACACAGTAGCTGGGACTTTGGGAGCAAATAAAGTCTTCTGTAGGACACTTGTCTTTAAAAGTGATCAGCTGACGAACAGTGAATAAACTGCAATTAAAAACAATACTTTAAATAGTTATTTTACTTAATGAAAACTAAAATTTGCAGCTATATGTCACTGGCTGAGCAGCAAACAAGCCGTCATGAGAATGACAAAATGGACCCAATGACAGGCCAGAACTGCCACTGAGTACAGATCTATGTAAAAAAACAACCCCAACAACATAAGAACATTGTCAAATAATTGATAAAAATTATGCCAACCTACCAAATAATTGGTCCTAATTCACAGTTGAGTTTGCTGGCACCGAACTATGTTTGTTTGCACATGTATATATGTATATGTATATATGTATGTACATATGTGTACACAGATATATATACATGCATACATACATGCATGTGTATGTATACACAAATACATACATATACAATCAAGAGATACCACTTTTCAGCCACAGGCAATAAGATTCATGCATTCAGGGATGCTACTCTGCTGCTAGTCATCCCTGCATGGCTGGAAAGTACTTGATTAAAAGAGACAGAGGAACTTGGAGGAAAAGGCTCCCAAAATCTTGCTGAGTCTGTTTTTCGGATGGCCGAGGAGGCTGCTGGAGGCAGCACAAGGCAGGGAGCCTGGAAGGTCACAGTGGTGACCCAGCATGTGGGGCTGAAAGACCCACCGCTCCAGGATGTTGAGGATGCTGTTTGCTGCACCGAGCTGGACCTTGCTCCGGTGGGTTTTGCCATGATGTCCTATAGACGAGGTCCTGCTTGCTCAGCAGGGCCTGGACCTGAGATGCTGCACAGCCCTGGAAACCGGGACCTGAACCTCTGACGCTGCTCACAGCAGAAGGGAGGAGTGGGCAGGGCTGGGATTCACGTTCAGCTCCGTTTCTGCAGGAAATCAAAACACGGCTCTGTCTGCACTGCTGTGCCATTTGCAGTCCTCCTTCCAAAGGTAGCCAGGATAGATGATTTACAGCAAGGTGTAAAATCCTCATCATGCACCTAACTACTCTCTACTACACCATGGGGAGATATTTCCTTCTGACTCCATCTGGCGATCCGGTTATACCCTGAAGCATGTGGACTGATTGTCCTCATGGCTTTTCTCCTGGCTAGTCTAACTAACGATGCTTTATTTTTATTTGTACAACCAACTACAATTTATTTGTACAACCAAGCCTTTTTGAAGCTTTGAAAATTATGATTAACTGTGCAATGAAAATCAATAATGGAAGTGCTTGCAAAGTCCCTGTGTTTCGTGAGTGATCCTGTAGGAAGCTGCTCCCTCTAAAGGTGATGGAAATGTTGGAGAAAACTCACAGCAAAAACTTTCAGACCCCTGTGTTTTTTTGTGATCCTTTTGTCACCGCTCCTATAGACACTAAAATCTTTATAACAGGTCACTATTATCAGTCTGTGGAAGCATAGCCTCAAGCCTATAGAAAAAAATGTTTATATTCCTTTATACAGCTATTCCCACATCTTTCAGGTCCATGACAGCTTTATAGTTCACAGGAGATTGCAGAGATGAGGATCTGATAAAATGTTTACTATATGACCCCTGCTGATGGAGCTTATTCCCTTTTGCACACTGACAAGTGCTCGCATCTTGCTCAGTGTTAAATATCCCATTTTTTCTCTGTTTCCCAGAGGACGGAGGGTGTTTTGAGAGCCCTGCAGCTATGCTCACCTGTGCCAGCTTCTGAAACTCCAGATAGATTCACTGCCATCTCGTGGCTGCCTCTCCCCGCCTGCTCTCGTGCTGCAGCTGGGGAGAGGATGGTCAGTACAGAGCTCCAGGCTGGGATTTGGGGATGCTGCCCCAAAACGCAGCCTGGGGACGGAGCAGTCGCCATAGGGAGTGTCCTATGGCAGTGTCAGGCCTCAGGGCTGGACTGGTGATGAGGAGCAGCGAGCAGCTCCTTCCTCAAAACAGGTTTTGAATAATGGCACACGTCACGTAGCCCCTGCCAGCACCCCCAAAGCCCTAAGTCTTGCCTACATGGTGTGTGAAAGGCTGCTTTCCCAAACTCCTCTAAAAATCCCCACCCTGAAACAGCAACATGGAGAGATTCATTTGGGATCAAGGGAGCCCCCCGAACCCACCTTTACTGCCACCTTCTCCTGCTTGTTGCCTCCTTCAGCTCCCAGGTCTACTCCTGAGGTCTTGGTCATCTCCCTGTGACAGGGCATCTGGAGGGTCTCTTCACACATATCTCTGCTCGAACATGGTGCTTTTCCAAGAGACTCTGCAAGTCCCTAGTTACTGGATTTCTCTGGAGGAGGGCACGTCCCACAAGTCTTACATTTGCAGAGGAATCCGAGGAACAGCCAAGACTAAGATGATTATTTCACCAGTACTCAGCATCTTTCGAAAACAAGCACACACCAAAGTGGAAAGAGCACAAAAGAACAGCCAGATCCCATCACTACTATTTGCTACTTTGTCCACCTAAGATCCACAATGTCTGTTCAGCCTAAAATGTCCCCTGCAGTCTGCAAACACACACACACATACGCACAAAATACAAGGGCAATCCCAAGGGGGATGCTATGGTCACAGTTTTTGCCTGTGGATTCCTCTTTCCTGTTTACCACCGGCTGGACTCCCAGGTCAGATCACGAAAGGAAACACTAGTACCTCATTTTCAGTGCCACCTCTTTGGCATGACAACAGCAGGTCCTACTTCCAGAAGGAGGATGGGCAATGTAGGGGCCATCCCTCTGATATTTTCCACTTAATGACTAAAAGGCTGGGATGACATCTGCTTCCTGTAAAACTCTTTACAAAAGTTCTTTTCTGACAGCTATGGGAATATTGTGACCACATGAGGTTGATTTTAGGTCCCTTTTCCCCTCCAGTTTGTAGTTAGGATATAGGTCCATAAGAGAAACGGTAGTTTGATCTGGAGTAGGATCTGATCATTAGTACAGAAACTGGGTGGCATGTTTTCATTACACAACATGCGAAGAGGACGAGTTTGCAGGTAGAGGTACAGCAAAAGAGCATGACAGGTAATGTGTCAGATGGGGAAAGTTGAACTGGGTCAGCCCAGCCTGATGAGTCATCTTCAGCAATGTCTCACAGTGGCACGTACAGAAACACTCCCAGAAATGTTCTGCCCGCTCCTGCAGCCTATGGTTTCAGTAGCAGGTCCTCAGCAAGCCCAGTGAGTTTGTTCTGAAATCCATCCCTACTGCAGCTATATGATACACACTTCCCCTTTAGTATTACCAGTACTGAAAGCAGAGTCTGTGTGTTTGGCTTTATAGAACATTTTATTTGGAGAAGCTTTTCACATCATTGCATATTTCTTCTTCATTAAGGCAGTTCTGAGGGGGCTGGAGGGGAGGGAGGAGGGACATGGAGACTGTGTCAAGGGGGTTGCATTAAGGCAAAATTCCCTCCTTCTGCATTTCACCACAGTAGGTGCCACATAATAGCCAGAACAGCAAATGACTCATGCCAAAGAAGAGATTCAGTGCAAATATGTCCCACCGACTATTCACAAAGGGGCTAGACTCCTGACAGAGCTAAATCGACAGAGCCTTATCACCTGTAAAGCAATATTAATTCAACTCAGCATCCCGGCCCAGGTTCAGTGCAACATCCAAGTATGTGTTCCATTATGTGAAGCACATGTTTAAATGCTTTGCTGAATCAGGGCCATGGCCCTTTGAATGCAAGTCTCTAAAGTTGAGCTTAATTTTTATTCATCACATAAATATGTTACTCTGTGTCCCTTTGGCTCACTTCTTATCTCTATTTTATTGCTACTAACTGAGTATATCCCCTTAGTTTCCTTAACATGGTGTCCATTTCAAACATGCTTTGCAGTCTGCTTAAGTCTATTATGACATAAAAATGAATTATCCTTTAGAGTCCACTTCTTGCAAAGGTTCTAGAGCTAGGGTGTTTTTGGAGGACCAGGTTATAATTGTTTGGTTTAGGTGTTTGGTGTTTGGTCTAGGTTAAAGGTGTTTGTTTTTTTTTTTTTTTCAGTGAGGAGTAAGGTATTCTGTGAATAACACCAGTGACAGCAGAGGCATAACTTGCAGGGAAAGGTGATGCTCAGGTCACATACCAGCAACACAAATCAGGTCCCAAAACCTTTTCTATTTCCATAAGGGTTTCCTAAGAGAATTTTTACCATTCCAAAAATATAGTCACTAATACTTGTGTTGGCTTGGGGAAACCCCTTTTGTAATCCCAGGTGCAAACTGAAGGAAAGTGTGGCAGAAATACTACCAGAAGCATGGACACATTTTCAGGCAGAAGCAGTATATAAGATTTCATAAATCTAAAAGCTGCCTGTAACCTTCCAAGATGAAGATTTCCAGGTAACCTTTGACAGATAACTTTGGTGTCCATTAACTGTGTAGGTCTTGTTGAAAACTTACTCAGGTATATGAAATAGTTACATCTAGTAAAGTGGAAAACAGGGCAAAGAAATTAAGCACATATTACTGTTCCAAGCAAAACATTTCCTTGGTATATACATCAACATTTATATGACCTGGAACCTTGTCTAACATGCTAAAAAGCATGAGTAACCTGCATATTTCCTTGATACAGAGAAAAGCATCCAGTTTGAGGGAATCAAAAGGGTCAATACCAGCCACTGGTACAAGTCCTTTGTGCTTTAGACTTTCTTCATGCCTTTTCCCATAAGGCAAGCAAACACAGTCATGACCATTTTGGGTTTTACTTCAACCAGATCTTCTGGAAGGGCATAGACTCTTGCTCCAATTTTTCTTGCCATGGAGATGGCATACCTGCATTGCAGAGGGGGAAACAGAGAAATAAATTAATGCAATAGCACTCTTAAGTAGCTTTCACCTCTGTTTAGAAGCTTTCATCATCACTGACAGAGCAGGTTGGGAACACTTCTACCAGTTCATCAAAATTAAGATTATCTGTGGGAATATACAAACCAAGTCCATCAAGAACTACTTTTCTAGTAAATGATATATGTTTCCTGAGGGTTGAAGCTCTGATTACATGGGGTATAGGAGACTGCAAGTCAAAGTCTAGTATGAAACACATGTAGTCTCCCATACCCTGAAAGATTATCCTAACAATCAGCCCTTCTGGTTTAGCTCCCTCTCAATCTCTGCACTCAAGCCTCATAAATATATTTAAAAAATCACAAGGATGAAAGACAGAAAGCAAAGATCATCCTTTGCCCTCTGTACTTGACATGCAGCAAAGGATTAGACAGGGAGGTGATCTGTGTAAGTGAAAGGAACGGGATATGCCCCCAGGATTGGCTCTCTTATAGGGAATGGTTTGCTCTTGGAAAAAAATCAATACATCCATCCATCAAAATAGTTTTTCAGGCTTGAGTCCTATCCTTCCTCTTCTCCCTTAAATACTTATTTCACCTGTATGTGACCAAAGAGATGTATCTATGATCGCTAATCACTGCTTTCTGCAGCTTCCATTGCTGGCACTGTACCCTGTCTCTAAAAGAATTTTAGATTTAATGAGAAAAAAGAGGGGCTTGTGAAGCCAAGCGTTTTTGAGTCCATGAAGCAAATTATAAAGCACGAAACACAGCATTATAAACGCTTCATTTTCACTACTAGTTTTTTATACTGCCTAACACCTAGCCGATATACTTCTAACTCCAGAGATACTTCTCAGTTGAGATTCTGTCAGATAAGAATAATAAGGGAATCGATTTCAAAGACAGACTTAGGCAAGCATGAGCGGGTTAATTGCCCCTTGGTGTGAACGTACTTAGCATTATTAAGTTTCTCCTCATCATTCAGGTCCTCTGTTTTCAAGAGGTCATATTTGATTGATCCCGGTTGAATGGCATCAATGAGATCCAGGACAGGCATGCTGGTGCTGATTTTGCCATCCTACAGAGGTGAGAAATACAGTTAGATGCAAAAATGGGAAAACAGGTATCCAAGAAAGCCAAAGGCCAGGCTCAAGAGCAGGGGGCAGCTGAGCTGAATAACACTTATATCTTTACAGAGATCTTTTCATAATAAGTGCCTTTCAACAAAATCTATGTATCAGGACATGCTTTTAAAAGGGAAGGAAAAATAGTCCTACTAGGTCATTATATTATACAGTGTATGAACATTATACTGTATGAACATATATAGATATATGCACTGTATACAGCATACATACAAAAATACAGAATAAAAGATTCCTTAGCAGAAACTCCTGATAAAAAAAAAAAAATGTACCTTGAAACTGGAAATGGTTGAACTCTTCCCAGCTGCAGTCAGTGTCTCATTTACCCAGTTGACAATAATTTCATCATTGACCTTCTCTCCACCACCAATGTCTTCAAGGATATTCAGTGTGTACCTTAAAAAGGAAGCCCAAACACTTGTGGCTGCTCAAATTCTACCACAACATTGCAGCCACCCTGAAGCTTGACTTGGACAAACCCAACAATCCTCTGCTACCTGACAACCTCTACCATACATACACACTATATATAAATTATATTAAAATGTGCTATATCATCTAATGGGCCTAGTTCATTCCCAACTCTCTAATTATTCTTTTGGTAGACTTGAAAGATTTTGACACTCAAAACCCCTACAAGGTCCCAGATAGTGGATCTTAGTGTAAATGACTCATTCTCACTGTGTTTAAAAATAATCACTAACTTGAAGGACAGAAGGGGAACTGTTATGCTCATCTCAGGGGTAGTTTATGCATAAACAGAAGCCTAGAATATTTTGCTTATATGACAGCAAACATCTTGGAAAGATATCCCATACCAACGGCAACTAACTACCACATCCCAAGGTTAATTATCTCCCTGACAAACCTATACCTTCTTTTCAGACTGTATGCACCTCTTAATCACTTGATATCTTTACACCTGATTATTAAGCTCTTTAAACACTTGTGCATACACACAAACACACAGAAAATTATATTGATGAGGGAAGGGCAACTCAGTTTTATCCACTCCAGGGAACAGATTACAGAACCTCTTGCTTCTGCATAATTCCTTTTATTTTTTTTTCCAGTACTTTCTCCCCCATTTCCTGATACAGAGACCTTCCATCTTATTTTTATCTGTTCCACACAGTGAACATTTATTCATGCTGTACAGAGAGCAACAGTAATAATCTTCTGCATGAGCTGAATGCAATGGCCTTGCCCACAAGATAATATACTTCATGATCACTTCTCTAACCAACAGTGAGCAAAAGGTTACTCTCTCTTTGCATATATATGCAAAAAAGCAAAAGTCATAGTCTATAGAACCTTCTCTATACTAGCATTAGAAAATTATTACTATGCAAACTGAGTATGCCAAAAAGACTCATGGGCTTGTGTTTGATTGCCATACCTTCTCATCAACTGCCAGATCAAGGCCAGTGTGAGTGTACGGTTTCCTTCATTCAGATCTTGCCCAGCAATGCCAACAAGGGAAAACTTGGCTTCATTCTTTCCCAGTTCCACTGCATAATTGCAGTTTTCCAGCTATTAAAGACAGAGTCGGTTAGCACATATCACAACTACAGAAAAAATAAGTGTCTTTCCAGACATTCCACTGTGGTCTTACATTCTTTGCAGCACCTAGCCCATATCCTCCAAATGGAGCTAGGAAAATGGAGCTGTCTTTTTGGGCTATATGATAATACAGCTGTTGGACTATCATCAGCCAGCTACAGGCTCCATCCCAACAATAATATGGTAAGAATCAACTCAGAGAGAAATCTAATAATTATCCTCTGAAAAACACAATAGCTGGAAAACATGAATCTACAGCTCATAGCTACCTTTAGCAACATGTCATTGCACCGAGACAAAGGATATTAGTATCTCAGTCAGTATTTTAGGTGAGTCACTCATCCTACTCTAACTGGACAGTATTATTCACCTAAATAGCATAGTAAAGCTGTATATTTAGCAGCAATTCTGTGACCAGTTAATGAGGCACCTAGTCAAGAACATTTAACATCACTGTCTTCATTCAGTGTGGAGACGATGATCCAGAGAGCTGCAATTAATCTGATGCCACAGGATTCACAATGAAGATATATTATAATCTGTGGATAAATCAGTAGCAAAGTGGACTTTCTGATTTTTTTTTTTTTTATTTTTTGAAATATTAATATTGAATGGTGTCAAGCCTTTACAATACGAATATTGTTCTCTCGTCAAAAGAGCTGTAAATCAAATGTATTTTGCTTTTTTAGGGTGAAAAGTTATTCACTGAATAGACAAAAATATAATTTGATCTGCTCTACTGGGGACTTGAGAGTGACACACAAGCACTAATATTGCTATTGGAAATGACACAGACATTTTTTGAGGCAATATATTACTGGAGCTATTCCAACTTTTTGTACCTTCTTCATGTTGCCACCCAGTTTAGCATATGGTGGCTTGTTCACTCTATTCCAGTCCACTGGCACTTTGATCTTTTCATAGAGCTGGAAGATAACCAAGGCATCTGACAGGTCACTGAAAACAATAAAAGATGTATCATTGCCCAAAGAACCAAAGAAAGGAATCTAGGCCTTTTGTAGAACTTAGTTTCCAAAAAAATAAAAGAAAATACAAGTGTCTATTCTGAGAGGGAACAGAAATTTCTCTGCGTTTTCTGTGAGCAATGTGCTAGCTCTAATTTTCATCTGAAGGAAGTGTTAATACCTCCTCTTACCTATATAAGTGATTTACACGTGGATTAACACCCAGGGAGTTCATCCAGTTTCTGAATGTCCTTTCTTCCCTTGTTTCACCTAAAACAAGATGTATCAATCAACAGGCCTGTAAAACACAACACTCCAGTAAAGCAAGTGTCTTGTGATGAAAGTGCAACTCAAAATTTCCAATGCACTGAACCATAGGCAGAAAGAGGCACTATCTGACGAGTGAAATAGGAGAGCACAGTGCAGCACATAATATTTCTTCATGCCCTATATGCTACAGTACTTAGGCAGATGGGCCTTGAAATATCTTCAAGAGTAGAAGGCTAGTCTTGGCCCTAGTATGAACGGTTTTATTTTGAGGCTTCCGAGAAACTCAAAAATAAGTGAAAACATGGACTTGCTCCAAGTGTCTCTTCATAAGCATAGCCTGCACTGAACTAATGTTAGACTGAAGAGAGCACTTCCATTCATGTCAGCATTTAAGTATATGCTTAACTTCACTCTCATAACCAGTCCCATTGATATGGACACTACCCATTTTCTTACTTTTAAGTACATGAATATTTTGCTTATTGAAACTATAGAGCCATCTCCTCTTAAGATTAGCAGTCTTCAGATGCTACTTTGCTTCACATAGTACTTTATTTGCAGCAGTCAATTTATCAGAAATATCACATACAAAAACTAAGAGTGGGCTGACTGTAATGAAGACTTCTAAAATCGTGCCCTTCTTGCTCAGTGAGAGCCAGACTCAGAAATAAACTAAGTGCTTTCAGTTCAGGTGTTTGTGGGTTAGCTCTGCACTAAAAAAAATCTTTGTATGTTAGCAAAAAAAAGTATATTTTTCTTCACTCGGCCTTGTTTAACAGTATCAGTGCTACAGAATCCTGTTCCTGAAAATGGCTAGTATAAAATGTTTTCATCCAACAGGATGTTTAAGAAGCTTAAGGACAAGGAAAATAATAAATGTATTTTCCAGAGAGAAAATTCTTTCTCAGTCATTCTTTCTCTATGAGAGAGAATGAATGTCAGCCATTAGGAATTGCCCCCTGCACAAGAACTGAAATTGTCAGTTCTAGGCTGCAGTGACTGCAGATCAAGTGCTCCAGTCTAGGTCTAGGAGGGACCTGAAGCTCAGCAAGTGACCTGTATAACAGCCATCCAGAGCCAGCAGGGAGAAGGTTTATATAAAATTAGACTTTAAATATATAGTTTAAATTAATGGAATGTCCCAAAAAAAGAAAAAAAAAATGTAATTACCACTAATAAGCACAGTCAGAAGTGAAAACTAGTTCAGGAATCCCACAAAAGTGTGTCCCAGGACACAAAGTGTTTTCATCTTTGAATATGTGCAATCCACAGAGAGGATGCCCAAAACACATGAAGCCACATGCAAATAAAGAGCAGCCTCCTTTAATTAAAACTGTCCTTGCTAACAGTACAGTTAAGATATGCACAAAAAGAGTGAGGTTAAACCCTGGGCTGAGAGCAGGGGACAGTCACAAACACCCCTTTCCTCGCGTTTCTCTTACCTTCGATAGAGCCCCAGTCAATGTCCTGGTTGTCTGGCTTGTGCAGGGCAGGGTACTTGTTGAAGAGGTTGGCAATGAAGGCCAAGTTGAGCTTGGGGTTGCCGCGCACGACGTCGGTGGCGGTGACGAACTGCCGGCAGCCCAGGCGCTCGGCCTGCTGCAGCATGCGCTCCGCGCGCTGCACGTCGTCCTTCTCCTGCGCGCGACGGCACCGTGAGGGCTGGGCCCACGCCGGCCGCGCCGGCGCAACGCGGCGCAACGCGGCCCCCCCAAACACGCAGCGACCTCCCGTTTCAACAAACAGAGGGCCAGTGTGTTCAGATGTTTGCATTCCCCCGCGATTACTCCTAAGTTGAGTTGCGCATGGTGAGATTCCACATGGTAGAGGTTGAAGAAACTCACAATAAATACACTTAGTTGTCCTTCTACATGGCAGTGGTTTATCTGAAGCAGTGGTTTATCTGAAAGGCTGACTGGCTGTTGAAGTTTCAGCGATAATAACTAATCTAACTGATGGGAAAATGCATCATTTAATTCTTCGGAAACTTCTGAAAGACTAAGCAAAAACCAAGCGGCAATGGGAACCGAGCTTTGCTTGTGCTGGGGTCACAGTGCACCTCAGTGTTGGCCAGCAGCGCAAATAACAAGGAGAAAATATCGACATTTACTCTAAGCTTATCTCATCTTACCCTTAATCCTGACATGTCAATAGTAATAGCTGGAATGCCTTCTTCATCTCCCTTGGGGGCAACTTGGTTCAGCAAATGGTAATAAGCTCTTGAGTCCTGTGACAGACAGAGAAATTAAAGAGAGAAATACGACATCTAAAGCCCAGATTTTGCATCTCAGCGCTCCCCTGAACAATGCGCATGCATGTTTTGTTTTTATTAAATCAACTGTTTGACAGCATAATTAAATTAATAAAACTAGAGCACTTAGCAACTTCCACTTTATGCTATGTTTGCCAGATCTGTTTCTTCCCTAAGCCAATATATTTATGCTACAGGATGCTTAAAGCACAAGACACAATGCTATGTTGCATTTACGAGAATGACAACAATCACAAAGAGAAAGTAGAACTGATTTATTACAAATATTAAATTAGAGATAAAAAAAATGATACCTTTATAATGCTGTAGAAGTCAGGCTGCTGAGCATTTAATAAAAGAAAATGCAGAAGGAGAAAGAAGAAGGAGAAAGCAGATTTAACAGAAGCACTGTAATAGTTATGGAAGAGAAAGTGAAGTTTTCAAGGACAAAAGTTAAAACTGACAACAGTAACAGCATTTTTCAGGGAAAAGGGCATGAGCAAGGCAAGTATTTAACATGTCGTGTCTTTCAACTTTCATGAAATATTAGGTTGCTTCCGCATATGAAAAGTACTAATCTCACTTTAGAAACAGCTCAAAGAGGAGCAGGAAGCTTAAGCTCCACGTTAGTCTCTAGGAGACAAAGTAACTTGGGTAATGCTCTGTAAAACTTTAACAGTCTGCAGACCTGTATTTCTTAATTCTGTCCTTTCTTGTACGAGAAATACTATCTATATTCACTGTAGTTCTACCCCAATTATTCTTTATGTATCTGCACGCAGAGAAAACAGGCCCAACTCACTCAGTCTCTCCTCATACAGGAGATGTTCCACTCCCTTAACCATCTTTGTCACTCTCCGCTGGACGCTCTCTAGAAGCTCCACGTCCCTCTTATACTGGGGAGCCCAGAACTGCCCCCAATACTCCAGGTGCGGCCTCACCAGAGCTGAGCAGAGGAGCAGGATCCCCTCCCTTGACCTGCTGGCAACACTCCTCCTGATGCAGCCAGGATCCCATTGGCCTTCTTGGCCACGAGGGCACTGCTCACTCATGGTTAACTTGGTGTCAACCAGGACTCCCAGGTCCCTCTCCGTGGAGCTGCTTTCCAGCAGGTCGACCCCTAATCTGTCCTGGTGCCTGGGGTTATTCCTCCCCAGGTGCGGGACCCTGCACTTGTCCTTGTTGAACCTCATGAGGTTCCTCTCTGCCCAACTCTCCAGCCTGACCAGATCCCTCTGGATGGCAGCACAGCCCTCCGGAGTGTCGGCCACTCCACCCAGTTTGGTATCTGCAGACTTGCTCAGGGGAGTCTTAGAAAGCAATGTGTAACTTATTTTCCATAAGTGCCTTAACGGCAGTTAAAATTTAATTGGTTGCATTATTGTCCTTATATACTGGAATACCAAAGGTGAGGAAGATTCCATTGCCTTCCATTGTGAAGCAGCCAGTACAGGCCAGGAGTATAGGCCACATCTTTGCCAGGAGGCATGAAAGGACTTTGCCATTGCCAGTGCCTCATATGGAACTTTTTGTTTCCCAGATCACATCTAACCTACATTAACAGCCTCTAGTACAAAGCTCACTGAATTCAGGAGAAGGATCTCTGTCAAGTCCAGGTCCTCAGATTGCATCTTTAGTCTGAAATTCATTAGCATGTGTCACTGAGGTCCAAATACTCTCTCTGAGAAGGATGAAGGTCTTAAGAAGAAAGCTGTGCTGAACAGTGCGTATGCAAACCCATGAATTCCACATATGTGACGTGAAATGCACGGCCAATAGCAGCTCTAGCCCTGCAAGCATCTGCCCTCCTAGGCATAGTCTGATGACAATCCCACTGTTTTAAAGCTTCCAGTTAAGGGCAAGCAGGGCTGTAGTGAAGGCGAAGCACGGGAACACACAACTCAGGTGCTGCACTGAAGGTAGCACCAAGCAGAAGAATGAGAAGAACCACATATGCTTGCCCTTCACCTACGTTACACGTCTGGGTAGAACCCAGCTTTTTTCCAAATCAAATGTAGATCTAACGACGTCAGGAAGAAAATGGGTAAGTGCACAGAAGTAGGACATTTAGGAGAGAAAACAGCAACAGGGGCAGGGAACTGAAAACACAGAAGTGGGATGTTTATGTCCTCTCTAGAGACAGCAGCCATTCCCTCCCCAAGCATTTGGCATGCTGGGCTGGTAAAGAAGTTCAGGAAGTCTAGAGGAGGAGAAATAGTGCTGAGTGGAAATGAAAGGCCCACCCAAATGCTTTTGAGTACCTATCTTCTCTTTTCTGGATGACAGGCTCAGTTCCTTGGATTGTTTCAGTGCACATTCCCCATTTGGAGGACAGACATTTCAGTGTGCAGCTGCTGTTTTAGTGTTGCTGGTTAGTGGATCCCTTACCTTGATGTCTGAGCTGAAGTTGTTGACTTTGTTGCATCCTGCATTCTCCAGATGGTAGTTTGCCCATCTCAGCAACAGTTCTTCTGGAGACAACTTCATTAGATCCTCCAGACTCTCTCCTTCTCTCAGGAGAGCAATCAAAGCTATGCAAGGGCAAAAAAAAAAAAAAAAAAAAAAAAAAAAAGATAAATGCAATGCAGTGCAATATTTTTTGTCACTGTATTCTTCCTCAAGAAATGACAGCACATGAATTGACAGGCACAAGTTGCAACATAGAGACAGTCAAAGCTCCCCTGGACTCAGCCATGAGAGCATGATCTGAGTTGGCCCTACTTTGTTTGATTAGGACTTTACCTAAATGGCCTCCAAAGGCTCCTTCCGGCCTAAAATCTATGGTTCTAACTCACAAAGCTTGACCTTGCACAAACTGGAGGTCACAGGCCATAACATGCAGAAGAGCTGGGGCAAAATAAAGGTATCATCTGATTTGATGTTTGTGTTACTGATGTTGTGGACATCTGTAGTTGAGGCTTTACAACTATTTTCTCTCTTATGCATTTTGTTACCCTGCTTTCTAAAAGTGAGTGGCAAAATATTGTCAAAAATCAAGCTGAGTTAGCCTAGCGGACAGCAAACATCAAAAAGTTCTCATCAATATAAAGAGGACAAGGATATTAGTGGTGGGTCTAATAGTGGATAGAAATGAAATATAACGTTAGTGTGCTCTAAAAATTAACTCATTTCTTTGCCACAGATTTCAATGCAAAGGCGGTGACATTGAACACAAAGATGGAAATGAAGAAATGAACATAGACTGTTTGTAACTCGATTGAAACAAATCTCCATGCCCATCACACTGAAACTGTATCCACAGGAATTCTGAAGAACTTGAACATGATTTCACAGGCTCGTTAACAAGTAAAGTTAATATGTCTATCAGACTGGAGAAGACCCTGTATTTCTGCAGAAAAAAATAATGTGGTAGTTGTGTTCAAAAAGAGAGGACAAGGCAGGAAGGAAGAACTGCAACTACTGGATGCAAATCTGATCTCAAGAACATGAGAGGTTTTAGAATGAAAGGCTTTGGATGGCTGAATACATTTTGAAAAGAACAACTAAAGATATGGAAGCTAATAGTTAATGCAGAAAAAAAAATGTAGCATTACTTCAGAAGGGGAGATTATGCCACACTAGCCTGATATTCTGCTGGTATCTTTTGTCATTCCTTCAAAGAAATATGATTTTGTACATAATGGAAAGAGTAGGGATCTAATTTACTAGAATTTTGCAAATATTTTGTTACAATGCTACAGGGTCATTGAACAGGAGTGATATAATAGAAGCATTTTAAAGTTGACAAGGATTTTATGAAGAGAACAATGTTAACACTGAGAGACGTAGGCTGGAAGAGAGATTTTTGTGATGTTGATCATGGTTTGATTTTCAGACAAATCTTTTTCTCTATTTATTATCTTGGCACAGATCCTATGAAATACAAATGAAATTTGATGATGATATTCACTAGGTGGCAGAGTCAATACAGAGGCCAATCAGGAAATCATACAGGCAGAACTGCAAGACTAATAAAAATAGAGTGAAACTGAATAGTGCAAAATACAAAGTCACTCACTGGGGACTTAATATGAATATATTGCTATTAGCTAAAAGCTCATTATGAGGAACAGAGGATGGAAAAAAAAATGTGTGTCTATTAGATGACTTCACCATGAATCTGAACCACCATGTGCTATGACTATGGGAAAAGCAATCCAGGCATTTCCCATGGGGGCTGGGATGTCTTACTGGTTTGGTATCAGTTGCTCTTTGGGAATATAATGTTCAATATTCAAGAAAGAGGAACTTCACTTGGAAAAGCTTCAAAGAAGGGCTATTAGGATTATGAAGGAAAGATAGGACCTAAAAAGAAAACAAAATGACCTTGGCTTGTCTACCCTGACAAATTAAATCTGAGATGAGAAGGAAGGAAGAAATTTCCAAGAAGGAATGGGAACTGGGAACTCTAAGAACCAGTATGTCTGGCTACCAGTAGGATAGAAATTTGCAAGGCAGGATGTAATGACACAGCCCTATATCACCTGCATGGTTATTGGGGCAGAGATATCACTGATGACCAGGCAGACTATCCAGAGGAAAAGGGAACCAAGCAACAAGATGAGATGCAATGTGGACTGCAAACACACACCCACAGCCTCATTCCAAAGCTTGTTCACAGTGAATTTCGGTTCCAGTGAGACCACACTTGGAGAATTGTGTCCAGTTTGGGATCTCCGGTACAAGAAAGACATCTTCTTTCAACAAGAAACAACAACAGTGAGTTGAGCAGAGGGACACCAACACATGAAGCACATAATGTATGAAAAGAGGTTGAGAAAACTGGATATGTTCATCCTTGATAGGAGTCTGAGAAAGGGAACTAACCATTTTTTTCTTCTACTGTGAAGGGATGGAGCCATATTCTGCTCAGGAAAAGGAGAAGACAAAGTCACAACTTGCAGGAAGGGAAATTCTAACTACACGTAAGAAAAAAAAGCCGTGAGAGTGCGTAAGTAGTGGAATAGGTTACCTAGAGAACATTGGACAAGGCCCTGAACAACCTCATCTAACATAGAAATTGATCCTGCTGTAAGAAGATTGTTCCATCCAGCTGGACCAAAGGACTTCAATAGGTCCTGTCCAAATTTTTATGTGATTCTCTAAGTATATTTTCACAAAGAAAAAGGAGATGATTGGCACCAGTTTTAACAGAAGCAGAAAAAGTCACAAGCTTCTGAAATGCAACATAGACTCCACATTAGAAAGGATTCATTTTGTGTTGATCAAGGTGCCAAAATAATTCTATATCTGGGTGTTGACCATTATTCCTGATCTAATGTGTTTGAAATTGTCCTTGCACGTATAAACAATTGAAATGAGAGCAGTAAGGAAGACGGTTAAGAGACACTTGAATAAAAAACAGAACTAAGAATTTTAAAAATAAAGACTTTATAAACATAGCTTGGTGATAACAGTACAGTCTTGAAAACAAATGCCATACTTACCTTCATTCCTGCTGATTTCTATATCAGCAAAGAGTCCAATTTTGATGACTTGCCATAAAAGACCCAAAACCAGGTAAGGTTTCCCTTCTTTCAAATCTTCAGCTCCAATGTTAACAACATGGCACCCAATGGCTGAAGCAGAGTTCAGGGCCAGGTTCAGATTTTCCTAGGAAAAGAAGAGATCTTCTTAATGATGCAAGAACTAGAGAGCTAAGAGGATATAGGAAGGGAACACAGATAAAGCTAGTGAAATCAGTGAGCACCTTCACCTTGAACGTCATGGCAAACAGGTCTGCCCAGTTTTGAATATTTGGAGCAAGCAAGACCAGAATTTTCTGGGACTGCAGGTAAGTTCTAGGTCCTATGCAAAGGCAGAAGCAACCTCTGCAGGTAGGACAAAAGATTCAGGTCTCTCGCCTGTCACGGGGCACTGGAGCTCTGAGCTTACACATACATCCACAGTGATGCTCCGACACAGCCTTACTCCCAAAGCCAGGCTTTCCCCATTTCCACATTGCCAACACACATGCACACACTCAAATGCAACCTCAGTTTCAGCCTGGGGCAAGTGCCCTCCATTCAGGCTTGCACACAACTGCGAATGAAGGAGCTACATCCAAGCTCAGTTCTCCCTAAGCACAATGCAAAAGTCCTAATATCAAATACACAAATAGGTTACTAGTTAGCAACATATACAAAAAGCCCACGCCATAGGACTCAGTATGAATAAATCTATTGAATTTCTAACTTCTCAGTTTAGCCAAGGTGAGAACTGGACCTGGATTGGATATATTCTCTTTTGAACTTTGGGGCTTGGAGTCTTGCATTGGGAGCATTCGATGGAAGTAAAGGAATTCAGTTATGGATCAGATGGAAATGTTATGTTTCTTCACCACTTCCTTCCTTTTCAAAAAGAGAGGGTATAAAGAAATCTGGCCCAAATGTTTGGAATATTCAGGAAGGTGTCTTACTAAACAGAGCACAAGTAAAATCAGCAAAGGAGCCTGGCAAGTGCCATTTATCACACAGATCTGCAATTTTTCACATGAGTTTCACCACCACTGGCATGACACAAAGATTCAATTAGATACAAATTGCAGAGAGAGGCACAGTGTACATTTTTCTAAGTTGGAAAAATGGAAGCTTTTCAAATTAATTACCTTTCCTCTACCAGACAGCTGTAAAAGGGTTAAATTAAAGTGGAAGCTATATTGATCAAATCATGTCTATAGCTGGCAGGGATTGATCTGAGCTGCATCACTAAACTATGCTGCTGACCAAACGGATTAGAAGTGAAAAATGTGGTATACAGCATAAAAATCCAATTTAATGGCTTTTGAGCTTACTTGAGCCTGGCTAATGTCCCATCTAATCAGAGTAGCTGAGAGTTAAACTGGGTGAGGTTCATATCCATGCCATATATCTCTTCATACCCAGATACCTAAACACTGCTCTGATAAAGATACCTCTTTACGTGCTGTTGTGTGAGAAACAGAATGAACTTTAAATAGGTGAAAATTTGCTATTTGGTCCAATTTTTAAATTGTATACATGCGCACATAATACAAATGAAGACCAGATTTAGCCTTAAAAGTGAAAAAAAAAGCAGAACTTGCAAAAGACAGACAGAAGCTGTGGCTCTAGGTCAGACAAGCTGCACCACAGCATTTCCTGGATCACAGATAATATTTCAGTGAGGACACTGAACTGCAGCAGAGCAGGTGTGAATTTAACTCTATGGCCACGCCACTGATTACTTGCAGGATCCTGAGGTATTTTTCAATGTTCTCAGAGCTATTTCAACCAGAATTTGTCACCATATCCTGTAGTTGCTTCTGCATCCTTATGCCATCACAAAGGTGTCTGAAGCTTTGAACTGGCAACTTTTATACGCTGCTTTAAGCACACATACAAACACACTTTGATTTGGTAGACTGCTTTTATCTTTAGAATGAAACACAAATACAAACCTCTGCAATAGACAGCTTTGCCTTGTTGTGGTTGGGAGGACCTTGATACCTAGCTATAGATAATTATATCAAAGCATCCTAAGTGGAAAAGCAAGCAATTCTGATACGATTTGGTACCTGTATTGTGAATGGAGTGAGTTTCTTTTTGTTGATTGTTCTCTCATCAATGGTATCTGGCACTGAAAAGTTGATCATCTTACTGGAAATGAAAGAAAATACATTAGGAAATGCCCTTCTTGCTATACTTGCACAAATGACTTGGAGTTTTTGTCACCACAATTTAATTTAAGAGCTGGAGAATTTCTGCAGTTGATAGAAGGTCAAGAAATAACTACAGATAGTCAGTCTCTTACATACGCACATGCACACATGCAATATTTTAACGATTTGGGGGGGTTATATACTGAATGAACTATAAGCATGAGTCCAAGAATACAGCAAGGTGAAATGGTATGAGAAGTTCATTTTGCAGAAATTCCCATAAAAGCACTCACTATCTCATGCTGCTTTGTGTGAGCCCCAAGAAGGCCTTGAGCAAAAATAAAAACAAGTAACTTTTAAGAGCAAATCTCATTGGCTCCATCTCATTGCAAAGGCCTGCAGGCAAAGAAAAACACTCACTTAAAATGAAAGCAGCTTTATATTTTTTTCGTAAAAAAATAAAATAAAGAGCAACAAAACTAGTATTATCAAGGGCCTGAATCTGCAGTTTCCTGAATTTAACCATAAGGCAGCAGCTTCAACTGAAACAGGGAGTGAGATTCTGCAGACACATGGTCTCTATTTATAAGAACTAGGGGTATTATTTACCAAAGCACAATGCCATCACCAACAGCCTGGAAGAGATCATCTGTTTCTGGATTCATTGGGACCACATGTTTACAGTCAGGGTCCTTCTCAAGGGCTTTGTTAATCCAGTTGACGAAAGCGTACTTTTCTTCCTCTGTGAACACAACATCAAATCAGTTAGTTTACTGGGTAGTCCCTCTATCACTGTTATACTTATCATGGTGAAAAAGACTCTCCAAAACAGCGTGTGACCAACTAATGAACCTCTACAGTGGAAGAAGGCTCTGAGGAGACCAGCAAAGGGAAGCCACTCAGGAAGCCCAAGGAAGACTGCATGGAGTCACTGAGCTCAGCTGCTCATAACATGTGGAATATCTAAGAGAACCTGGCCAGATTGTACTGGACTCTTACAGAGGGCAGTGGGTAGATGTTCCCTGTACTCCTAAAGACTGCACCGTAGCTATGCTGTGTCTGCAGCAGCCCACAGCTCCTCGGTAACTCAGAGAAGATGCCCTCTCTGCTTCTGGTAGATGGGGACACTGTGTCCTCTGCTTGATCCTTCCCCAAAGCTCAGGAGCCATTTTCTTACAGGTGATCTTACAGGAAAATTGTCAGGGATCTGGCAATTTCCAATGTTGCAGGAAGTGAGTCAGGAGCAGTGGGGAATCCTTGCACTGCTCTTCAGCGGGGAGAGGCAGGGGCTGCCCCTGCCCTGCCCAGCATTTGCTCCATGGCCATACTGGGAGAATGTCCTCAGCAGGGCTGCTCGGCTCCTCTGCTAAGCTGGGGAAAGGTTTCTGCTGCAGACACAGCTCTGCCACCCCCAAAAACTAACCCCTGCTATTTTTGAGAAAGATGTTCTCTGAGGTTTTGGCATCTTCACCACTCCTTGACGTAAATGAGCCTCATCTGGGTAACTGCTGCTGCTACCAAAGCTCATAAAAATCATCTTGCTTTGCACCAAGATCAGCTATATATCAGGTATTCTCTAAGAGAATATTCACTCTGGGTGATGCCAGTATAAGACAGCTGTACCTACCCGAATACGAGTGCTGTGTGCCAGCACTGGACTGCTCCGAGGTCCCACCAATAGCACAGATCCCCTCCTTTTTATTGATTTGCTTTCGGAACGACTTCGCAACATCGTCACTCTTCAGGCTTTGGAAAATCTTTCAAACACACAAGACAATTTTAAAATATTAGAGAATTAAACCAAGCTAAAACTGGGAGCATTTGTACCACCAGACTCCTCTCTGCTTTCTATATATTTTTTCTGCATAAAATCATGGACCAATACACCTATATGCCTTAGTAAAGTAGAATCATACACAGCTTTTATGTTTTCAGAGCAGTGAAAAAAGATCAGTAACAGCAATGTGCATGGTGTGAAACCAGAAAACCGAAGTGCAAGGGAAGAGGGTCTCTGAAAGTGTCAGTCTGGAAAAACAGCATGTTCAAATCTATTTCTCCATCCCACGGGAAATTCTGCTATTTCATGAATTGCTTCTGTCCCTCTTCTGAACAAAAAAAGAAAGAAGCTTTTTAATAAAGGGAATTTTTCAGGACATTTTCAGTTTCAATCTGTAGAAATATGTAGAGTTAAAGGGAAGAATTTTAACAGAATTAAAATGAAATCTTTCAATTTTCTGTGAGGATGATGACAAAATTCTGGGGAAAACTATATGTTTACTCACAGAAAAGTCAATTTTTTGGAAATGATGTTGCCAGTCAAAGCAACATTTTGAATAGAAAATTCCCAACTTATTCTGTGTTAGCATCTATAAGTAAGACTTTTCTTTTTTCTGTATTTCTTTTTATAGGTTATTTTCTGAAAGAATGTTTTACTTACTGAAATAAATTCATCAAAACTGATTCTGCCATCTCCTGTGGTTGTCAAGTTCTGAATAAGTTCTCTCACTTTATATCCTGGTAGAGGGAGACTGGCTGCTTTCAACACATCTGTTAAGTCATTAGTGTGGATGAAGCCGTTCCCACTGATATCTGTAAAGATTAAAACAAACATTTAGATCCTATGTCAGCCAAACAAAATTATCTACATGCAAAAGCTGTTGCCTTTCTTTTGCCTTAGGAATGGTTCATTCTGTACAAAGACTAGCTGACATTTAGACCAAAAAGTAGAATCACTGTTAAACAAACAAAAAGTTCAGTAATGAATTTATAAATTTTTAGAACGATATTATTACCTTAACAAAACCATGTTTAGACAGCTGTAATTGAAATTTCAGGGCTTACACATACACAGACATCTTAAGTGATTTATATAGAAATTATACTGTCTATAGAAGAGCTAAAGAAAAATGAGTTGATATGATACCGAGTTACACCTTATAGTTGCATATATTTGTAGATATAACTTGTGATTTTAGGCTTGTTATCTGCATCTAATATCATCAGAAAACATGGACTTAGTTTTTCAGTAATGAAGACTGGGCTTCAAGTCAAAAGCTGAATGTTTCTTTGAGATGATGCTAACATGGCTAGTGCTGCTGAGCCCACTGCAAGATGCATTAGTGACAGAGCAGGATTTTAATTTGAAGTGAAGATCACCACTGTGGTTTAAATACTTCCTTCTTCTCTATTTGTTTGTGGAAAACCCCACAAATAAAAAAAGGAAATTGGCTGTCTGAAAGAGAAGTCCTGGGACCTTTGCATATAATAAATGCTAAAAAAGGTACAAAGTATGCAAATAGAACCCAAAACTGTCAGTGGTCGGCGTGGAACAATCATATTTTCTCTGATCTCCTACATTGATAGCAATTCTTCACATCTTAACAAATGGTGGCAAATACACCTTACGGCATGATTTTTCCAAGAGGTGCCTCATATTTTATTATCTTTCATTTCCTCTTGGGTCTGGGGAGAAAGTCTGTGCCTGTAGGTCTGTAGTATGGGCATTTTTGTTCCAGCAAACTGTAGAACTCTAGATTTTTAAAAATAAATGTTCAGCATATCTAGCTTTGTTTTGATTTTCTTAATGAGAACCTTTATGTTTTAAAAGTAGAGTATATGAACTGCATAGAGAGTTTCTGGCGATCTATAAAAATACACGGAAATTTTATATTAACAAGTTTCTTGCTCTGTCTCTTGTTCTGCCGTCTTTTTTCTTCTGCAGCTCAGAGGCAGAGAAGGGCTCAAAGAACCACATGCCAATTTCCTGCGTGATTTAAGTTGCAGACTGACTAATTCATTTGCTGCATGCTGCAAAAATGTCTAGGTATTAATTCATCAGCATCAGTAGCGTAGATGAATATATATTGCAAAGACCAATCTATTTCTCAAGTTACATAGCCATACAATCTGGGCTTGGAAAGGGAAATGTCTGGGAGATGGATGAGAGCTTCCTTCCAACATTTGACCTGTTGGCGCATTGGACGTACTGGCCATGCATGTGGGCCAGCTGGCTGAGATTGCCAGCTGGGATTGGTGCGTGCTCAGAAATCAACAGATCATGAAAAGCACAGTACAAAAGTACACAAAAATACAGTATGTGTATTATTAACACATAACCCAGTGTGGTTGCATATCTATTAATAAAAGTTAGTGAGCTATGGGAAACGTACGGACTTTTTCTTGGAATTGGGAAGATTGTGACAGGTCAGCTTGCCTCTAAGGGAAACAAATCAGATGAGACCTTTAAAGGCCCAGAAAGAAAACATACATTAAAAAATACCTAGGTATAAAAGGGTCATAGTAAGGAGATTACAATTTTTCTAGTCATTTACACATTTATCCACTTCTGACTCTTCATTTGCAGGAGTATTCAATGTATTACATTAAAATGAAAACCTCTTGCCTTCTAAATCATCTGCCAGGAAGAAAAAGTACTAGGAAAATCTCTTTAATCTCTTTAATCTATTTCTGACATGGTTTTCTGCCCAGGTTTCTAAATTATTTCATAAACGCTGTTATTCATTGCTCCACCATTTCTCTCCAGCAATAAGAAGCCATTGCAGTACAGCACATTAATGTGGTTTCATTTAACAGATCTGCAGTTGCAGGAAAAGGACTTTCAGTGGTTTCCGTGACACAGCAGAAGGAAGCTTCATTTCATCACAGCTGGGTAGTTCAGAAGAAAATGGCCTGGTACAACTTCACACTCTGCAGAGCTTTTCCTGCTCATTGTACTCACCAACTTTGCTGAAAGCCTCCCTTAGCTCTATCATCTCTTCCTCTGAGAAGTGGACTGTTGATGCCATTTTTACTTCTCCCAGTCACAGGGCTGAAAAAAACAATGTGCATGGTTTTATTTGATGCCTTTTGAATTTTGCAGTTATTGGAAAAGAGGCAATGACACCACTCAAAGGCATTTGAAATTAGCAAGAATCAAAATCTTGGGATGCTTCTTCAGAGCAGACAACCCAGTCCCCACCTGCACCCAGGGATCTAGTGAACAACTCAGTTTTTGTGTGTATAAGACATCAAATCCACAGCAGTCCTACTATTTTTGCCAGATTCAATTCAAATTTCCAACAAGTTTTTTTTTACAGACTGAATTGGAATTAAATCCTGTACCTTCTAAGTTTTGCTCTTCATGGAGAAAGCAATGAAACCTATGAAGGATATTTCCTTTCCTGACTATGAGCAGCGTTCAGGGAGCAGCCTCAGCAAGGTAGCAAAGTTCACGTCTAAAATTAGGCAAGTTTTTAGCAATGGATGGCTGGAAATAATTTTCCAGCCTTTCCTCTCTTCAAAGCCATAAGAGAGAGAAGGGATTAGAGTGACCTTACACACTTCTTGATTATTAAGAATGGTAACTAGAAAGGAAAGATTTACTTCTACCATGTAGTACAGTACTAGAAGATGCACACAACACTGCTCGGCTTTTTACTTCATCTCATATCCTTTACATTTATTTAAGCAGAAAACTCTTCATGACTATCTATAGCCTGCAGTTATGAGAATGACTCCAAAGTCCTATGTCTTTTTACATATTAATTAACCACAGAATTATTTCAATGGAATGGAAGAGAAACCTGAATTACTCCTGGAAAGCAGTAATTACAGTTGCAATACTTAAATTAGAAAAAAAAATGTAAAAGCCTATTAAAAATGCTTATTCCCAGACTAAAAAATACTACTGCATTATGCAGACTGATTCCAAACTTTATACAAAGATATAGACAGGAGTTCAGAAACAACAGATTTGCTATAGCCCACTACAACCACACAGAGTTGTGCACAACTTATCTTGGCTTCAGCTTTAATGCTGTCCTGAACTTACATATTGATCCCTCTGCCATTGGGCTGTGATGTAGAAAGAAAACCACTATCAAAATGGATGTGAAATCGCCCAAAGGCAATCTCATGTGGTTGGTACTTTTATCTGTTGTAGTATTATGCCTTATTTCTTCATTGATGCAGATTTGGGATAAAGACTAAAAACAGCTCCCAGAGAAAAAGCTGTTTACTCACTTCCACTTTCAAAAGAAGAGAAAAAAACAGAATAGTACATAATAAATTTGACTGAAAGTCCCTGTGCAGCATGAGGGGTCTTGTGATTGCTACTGAAATCATAATCAAATACTAAAAGTGGTTCTAACCACCATGCTTTGAAGTAATACCTGTAAAAATCACTGTGACCCACTACCAATGTCAGTTAGGTATATGTGGGCAAAATGAGGTGGAGTTTACCCCATAGTTTGTTTTCTTTACTTACTGCTGATACTTATAGTCTTCTTCCTTCAACCTGATGCTTACCACTTCTGATTACTCAGTACTTATCTCCTATGTTGCCTGGCTGCATGTTCTTAGAACATGTGGATTACCCAAAATGCAGTTGGAAGCATGAAAATATTGTGGTGCTGTCAACAAGAAAATCCATATCCCATCGCAAGATCATTTCTTCCAATCTTGCCATTTTATCAAGCAGTGTTACCACAGAATCACAGACTGGTTGAGGTTGGAAGGGACCTCTAGAGATCCTCTGGTCCAACCCTCTGCTCCAGCAGGGACACCCAGAGCACGGGGCACAGGGCGGCATCCAGGCGGGTCTGGAAGATCTCCGGAATGTTATAATAGATAAAAGGTACCATAGACTATTACCTGTAGCACTACTTTTGTTAAGAGTTTTATAACCTCTGGAAAAAATACCAGCATAAGTTGGTCTTTTCTAATTGCATAGAAGGTTGTGGTCTTCTATTCCAGTAATTTACTGATCTCTTAAATTCAGAGAATCCTATTAATATTACATATTTGCATATATGTGTTTATGTGTGTGTAGACACATACTGTGTATATGGACAAGCCTCAGGTTTTGCTTCAACACACTCTTTTGGCATTTTTTGAGGAGTCAATATTAACTATTCTTTTGTAAAGATAGAAACACTCACAGCAGGACAATTAAACGAAGCCATGAAATTATGATCTCAGTGCAAGAAATGGGCCTAGATCACCCAAGGAGTATTTGTGCTCGGGAAATGAAGCCATTGTTACTATCTGCTCTCCTCCTGGGGGTTTGACACTGCTGCCCATCAAAGTACATCTGTCCCTTAAAATCTACATCAGCTGCAAAATCCCTTGGCAACCATGACTCTTACATGATTTCGGGATTATGTCTAACCCCAGGTTTAGCAATAGACTGAAATAAAGCAAGGAAAGAACCAAAACAACTGCAGGTCTTCTAGGCCCACCTGTGTCTAGAATCTCTTGGGCTAAGTATACATGAAAGGCCTCACATTTACCCTTGGCCAATCAAGATCAGGAGCTTCAGAAGAAAGATTTCAGAGAAATTCACAATTAAAAATCACTGACATTTCTGACATTGTTTATGCAGTAAAACAAAGACAGGGAAATTAAGAGAGAAAAGGAACTGTAAAAGTCTGGGCCTTTAGCCTTAGAGCAAAAAGGAGCAAATCCCCTTTCTAAAAAGCTGCTTTTTTGTATATAAATTGCCTTGTTTGCTTATATTATTAAAAACAAAAATCATCTATGCCTCTGGGTGATAGCATGGAATATCAGGCCCAATATTTTCCTTCAGATTTTATCATCAGCCATGTGTGGAGCTGCTTCTAGAGCTCAAACACTTTCAGGACTTTGTTATCCCCAATGCAAGATGAAAATATCTCGGATATCCCATCAAGCAGCCAACAACCCTAGTTACTGATAACCCAAAAAGCTCTGCAAACACACACCACCAATCTCTTCTTCAAACTATTTACAAAATGACTTAGACAACACAGACATGGAGAAGAAAATGTGGAGAAGGGTGTAAGAGTAAAGGAAAACATGTAGAGGAGAGCACAGGCACTATGAGCAAAGCACCAAACAGCTGATGAAGGATGGGCAATGGTCAAGGACAAGAAGCAGAGAGAGAAGCAGGGCACATAGGAAGGGGTGGAAGAGGGAGGGGAGTTTGAAAGGAAAGAAACACAAACAACATCAGCACAAATGACATTTCAAGGTCATCATCAGCTGGAACGAAGGATCTTGATCTTCACTTCATAGAAGCTTAGTGAAAGGACTCAAGTTCCTTACAGAGAAAGACATGAAAGGCAGCAAGAGGTTGGATATACAGGCAGGATGCAGAGGTCTGAGTGAGTGAAACAGCAGAGGTACCAACAAGAAAGAAATGCAAGGTAATAAAAATACAAAAGTAAAATAAAACACTGTTTCAGACAGTTTCAAATGGCATCAAATTATAAATTGCCTGGATGTGACACTTATTTTGTTTGCCAAACAGTATAAACCTACTATTGCCAAAAAAAAAAAAAAAAAAAAAAAAAAAAAAAAAGAAAAGTTGTGCAAATGCACTTCTTGCTCAACAGACTAAAGCTGTTCATGTACAACCATGGTGTCACTCAAGATGCTGAAAATGGTAACAAATACGAGCTCAAATGTGAAGCATTCTCTTTCCTGCTATCATATCCAAAACAGCACAACATGTATTAAAAGATCTAACAATGTTATAGGACATCCAAAAAAACCTATTCCTATCTGGAATATAATGGAAGCACAAAAAAGTCTCCAGACTGAATGCTAACACTAAATTGAAACACGACGAGACCTATGTTCTTTCATCTCTTTTGGTTTTGAAGCCAAGTCTGAGAAGCTGCCTTGTTATGTATTACTTAGCAAAGTGTGCATTAAGGATGCCATATAAATAATAAATGGCAAAATCATTAAAAATCCAGAGGCCTCCATGACTTGTATTAAATGGTTACCTCATTTCATATTTTCCTCCACTCTGCCAGTGTTTAAGCTTTATTATAGGCAAGACATCTTTGAAGATGTAAAACTGCACTTTACAGTTACACATAAAGTGGCAGTTTTCCCGAAAGCAAAAAAGCAACATAATATTTCATAAGACTGTATTTACCTGCCTTAGCATTTTATGCTAAGAAATGTGAATAAATGACTTTGAGGGCTTTATTTTGTTCATGCACTAGTAGTTCGTTGATGTTACATTAACCCCTCTCAGCCTGTAAAGGACTACGCGTGGTTCCTGTCACATACATTTCCCTATTTCTCACGCCATTTTCTCTTCCAACTTGTTTACTCCTCCTGAAAGTGATGCAATACCAGCATTTCACTCTTGCAAAACAGGGCAGTTAGAATCGCACTGGGAAACACAACCCTTCTTGGCCACCTCTGGCCAAAACTGCACCTTTTCCTTCAACAAAATTCACAGCCCCAGCTCCTTTTCTTTTCTCTTTCTTATCTCCAAAATCCGTTTTTCCAAAAGCCTGGCTTTCCACTTGGTTTATGGAATACCTCCCCAGCTCTTTTCTGAATATCTCTTTTCCAGCTCATTTCGAGAAGAAACTGCCAGAAATGCTCCCCTGACATGCAGGCCGCCCTGCCCGGGAGCAGAAATAACATCAGTGTCACCAGAAGTGAGCAGAAACCCTGTGAGAAAGCTGAAGTGCTTCTGCACATCAGAGAACATATGGGAGCAGCCAGCATCTCCAGCATATTCTTTCTTCTAGTTTTATTTAATAAATTCTTCTTGCTTCCTTGGGACCCTGCTCACTCATCAGAATGCCCCTGATAGGATGTTCCTTCCCCTGAAATATTTCCTTCCATCTCTCTCACAAGGTCCCTATGGAAAAGTCCATATATCCTCTAAAACTGCCACCACCAGTGGCACCACCATGATCCTTTCTGCGTGCATTTTTCTGTTCAAATTGTGCACCTCTAGCAGCATATTTTCTACATTATGGAAGGGCGAAGGAGAAGGAGAGAAGAAGAAGAATTTATGGATTCGATCCTTAAAATATTTTC